TAAGCACCATTAGAGACAGAGGGCAAGTAACTACAAAAATCACAAAACAACAATACATAGTTCACGAGAGGACTGAACAACCTGGTCCTGCATTGTCATTGATCAACTGGGAGAATTGAAGCTTGGAGTTTGGCGTTGGAATTGTTTATCATGAGCAAGTCAGCTATTTTATTCTTCCAGACAATTCTCACATGAATTCTTCGAGTAGAAAGGAGCCCAAAATTCACAAATTATGTTGTCCCAAAAGGTTAATAATATATTATGTTGGTAATTTAAATTATAGTCTTGTTGAGCTTAAATGCCTCTTATAATTCTTTTTACTGAAATTGAGTTTAATGCTGACATTCCTTCACAGTATATACAACAAATGCGATAACTAAAGTTCAATAATGCTGTTTTTATGACGATTTGGTTTGGTCGGGCTTGATGCTCATCAGTCGTTGGAAGGTTAGTAAGGCAACTCACAATTACTTAGGCAAACGACCATATATACTTTAACCTCATCATAGTTCAAAACTAAAATAAACTCTCATTATATATACACACCAAGAAACTGAATACTCCTCTCGATGAAATCTAATCCGTATTACAAAATTATCCTCTCAAAGCAATGCAGCATTTGAGTTTGAATCATTTCCGGATAGCTCTAATCATTATGATTCGGAACGACACTAAAACACTAAAAAAATATTGGAAATTGCAACATGATTGTGCTTATAATTTGTTATGGTAATCTCAACTAACAAATTGGTTGAGTAGCTAAATGAGGGTCACGCTTTCAGACCAATATCTGTAATGCTTTCTGTATAATTTTGATCAAGTTGTTATGAATGGAAAGCGATCTTTCAACTTATTTTGTAAGAACCAAAGTTTATGTCCCGTCAGTTATAGTGAGTGCAGTCTCCGTGGCGTAAGACACTCGCCTGGCGTTCCGCGAGCGCTTTGTCCTGGGTTCGTATCCTGGCCGAGGGAGGATCTACTTGGCGCAAATCCTTAACTGTAGCCTCTGTTTAACTATAATAATAATAACAATAATAATAATAATCTTTATTTAGGTAAGGTACATACATAAAGAGATTTACAAAGTTTGTTGGCTTTATAGATAGAGCTAGTACATACAATGCCTAAAGCCACTATTACGCAAAGCGTTTCGGGCAGAGAACTCAACAGTAAAATGGGTACTTGGCTGTAAAAACATCGCGGCGGGAATCGTGTTCCAGGGAACATAGGATTAAGGACCTGCCCGAAACGCTACGCGTACTAGTGGCTGTACAAGAATGTAAGAGAGTGTGTAGTGTCACAGAGGGACGGATTTGTGTCCGCTGGTTGGCTGGGTGGCCCCTGGCGTCACGTGCTCTCGGAGAGTGGCCCTCTATGGCGTCTTCATTACAACCAGAAGCCACTCATCGGTAACTTGGCCACGTCCCTCAGCCAACTTGAGGCGTGCCAGCCACCGCCCACACTAATGCTGCTTGGCCTCATACACCCTCCCAAGCCTTCTCTCTCGTCTGTCCACACACACACACACACACACACACACACACACACACACACACACACACACACACACACACACACACACACACACACACACACACACACACACACATACACATACACACACACACAGAACACAGGTCTGGTAGCTGAGTGGACATCGCGCGGGACTCATAATCCTGTGGCCCGCGTTCGATTCTCGGCGCCGGCCGGGAAACAGATGGGCAGACTTTCTTTCACTCTAATGCCCCTGTTACCTAGCAGCAAATAGGTACCTTGGAGCTAGACAGCTGTTATGGGCTGCTTCCTGGGTGTGTGTGTGTGTGTGTGTGTGTGTGTGTGTGTGTGTGTGTGTGTGTGTGTGTGTGAAAAAAATAGTTACTAGTTAGTAACAGTTGATTGACTGACAGTTGAGAGGCGAGCCGAAAGAGCAGAGCTCAAACCCCGCAAGCACAACTAGGTGAATACACACAGGGGCTTCGTGGCTGAGCGGAGAGAGTTCGGGGGTCGGAAAAAAAAACAAAAATAGTAGATATAACAGAGGAAAACAGGTCGGGAGTTAGTGCATAAGGTAACCGATGGTTAGAAAGGCGGGGGTCCAAGAACTAAGGGTTCCATCCTGCAGACACAAATAGTAAATACACATACAAGCCTAATTAAGCCTGACACAGGAAGAACGTTCATTTGAATCATGTTCACCACAAGTCTAAGACGACAATTCCGAAAAATTGTTGTGCTCCTTGTTTCACTTTTACACCTTTCCCTTTCAGCCCTTCACTCTACCCCTGCCCTCCCTTCCCAGCCCCTGCCCTCCCTTCCCAGCCCCTGCCCTCCCTTGCCAGCCCCTGCCCTCCCTTCCCAGCCCCACCCCTCCCTTCCCAGCCCCTGCCCTCCCTTCCCTTCCCAGCCCCTGCCCTCCCTTCCCAGCCCCTGTCCTCCCTTCCCAGCCCCCTGTCCTCCCTTCCCAGCCCCCTGTCCTCCCTTCCCAGCCCCCTGCCCTCCCTTCCCTGCCCTCACGCCTGCCCCAGGGACGTGGAGGCCCGAGTGACCCTGTGGGAGTTGTGAGGAGGAGTCGGTGGGCAGGACGCTAATGACGGTCCACCTGGCTATTACCAACAATAATATTAACATAACTGTCCTCGGTGTGTCCCCAAAGCAACACCGCCCGCCACCACCTGTTGCCCTCCCGCCCTTCTCCCCCCGAGTCTCTCACAGTGAGAGAGAGAGAGAGAGAGAGAGAGAGAGAGAGAGAGAGAGAGAGAGAGAGAGAGAGAGAGAGAGAGAGAGAGAGAGAGAGAGAGAGAGAGAGAGAGAGAGAGAGAGAGAGAGAGAGAGAGAGAGACCAAAACTCAGCTACCAGACCTGTGTTGTGTGTGTGTGTGTGTGTGTGTGTGTGTGTGTGTGTGTGTGTGTGTGTGTGTGTGTGTGTGTGTGTGTGTGTGTGTGTGGAGTGTAAACACCCTACAACAGTAGTGGGTGTACTGGGTGCCTACCAGCCCAGCTCATCACCAACCAGCAAGTATACCTTAGTCCTGAACAAAGTCTCCCACCTGGGGCCAGATTCACGAAAGCACTTACGCAAGCACTAACGAACGTGTACATCTTTCCTCAAAATTTGACGGCTTTGGTTACATTTATTAAACAGTTTACAAGCATGAAAACTTTCCATTCAGCTGTTGTTATTGTTATAAACAGCCTCCTGGTGCTTCGGAGCCCATTAACTGATTAATAATTGGAAACAAAGCCGCCAAAGATTGAGTAAAGATGTACAGGTTCGTAAGTGCTTGCGTAAGTGCTTTTGTGAATCTGGCCCCAGGTCTCCAGTTTGGGATTAACTCCACTTATACTAAGTCTTTGTTCTCCTTTAAATAATCTTTCCCTGCGAAAGTGCGGTTGAACAAGCCGGACTATGATCGAGGATTTCCAGTGCCTTACCCACAGAAGTATACTCACCTTAAGGTGTAAACTACTTCTTGGTGTACATACACTGAGATTTTACTTGAGTCTTGGACTATATTCAGGACCAAAGTATACTTGTAGGTCGGTCAGTAAGCTGCTGCAGTGGCCTTAGTATGCCTCCGGATGTTAACAGGCCTTAAGCCCAAAACCCCACGAATAGTGAGTTCGCGGCATTAACAAGGGCGTATAAACAAGGGATCCGAAACTGATGGAAGAGATCAGAACGTACATAATGTCGATTTAAGAAGGATATCGTTAAGATCTGGTTTGGACATGAGATGAGCGGGATGGTGTTCCAGCAAAGATAATTGAGGCAAACAGTTTCCAAGAACAAAACCGACTGATACATGAGTGGGGCGGAGTGGATCGGACAGGGGTATACGGATGAAAGAGGGTGGATTTATACGGGATCCACCCGGTATGGACCAACAGGCATGATCTTCTTTTCCACCTCATTCTTAAGTTGGTATAAATACGGTTCTTAGTTACGTAAAACAATCGAAGAATGCGTTATTGGTGTCAGTAAATATCGTCATTCTTCGTCACGAGCAAGATTTAAGGTTATTTCCCTAGCAAACCCACTACATTCCGTGCTGTGTCAGTCACAACCGGACCCCAGCCTCACTTGGAGCATGTGAGACAGCTGGACACAGATCTCACAGCTGGTGCAGGCACCACAGGTGTGCACCAGACTCACCTGAGGTTCATAAGAGCGCACAACATGACACAGTCGCGTGACGGAGTGCGTCTCCCTCAACCAGGCTCCTCGAGGCATGCCAGTAATGTCAATAATAATAATGGCGCCCCGGAGCCCACGACCTCTTAGCCAATATCACCCACGACACACACAGACTTGCTGGGGATCTCCACCTACCTCACTCTTCTCCTCCTCCTTCTCCTCCTGCTTCACTATCCTCCCACCATTCCCCCCCCCCTCACTATACTCTCCCTCTGTCTCACTCCCCATCTCCCTGTCTTACATCACACTTCCCTCCTCCTTTGTCTCTTGATCACACAAGATATATTTCCTTTTTTTTCTCTTGCACCCTGCATCTTTCCGTATTTGCAGATTTTTATGCTGGAACTTTTTACAAGAATAAGTTTTTTTCATATATGTGTGCGCGCACGAATTAAATGTAAACACACAATCAATATATATATATATATATATATATATATATATATATATATATATATATATATATATATATATATATATATATATATATATATATATATATATATATATATATATATAATGTATATACGTGTGTGTGTGGCATCTCAAGATGCCACAGTACAATGAACAGTAACTGATGTTATCTATGGTGAATGAGACTACATAGATTATGGTCCGTAGCGCAGCAGAACTAAACGTCATGTATACTACTGTTATCTTCCCTTGGTCAGGTATACCGGTGTTATCTTCTCTGGGCCTGGTAATAAACCTCTGATAATATTATCAAAATTATGTCTACTACAGCTGATCAAATTAAGGGAGGGTGGCTTTGGCTACCTTAGATCTGGGCGTCTGGTGCAGGGTCCTAGGAGGCTTCCTCTGGGTCCTGGAAGGGGCCCTCTGGGTCCTGGAAGGTTTCCTCTGGGTCCTGGAAGGTTTCCTCTGGGTCCTGGAAGGTGCCCTCTGGGTCCTGGAAGGCTCCCTCTGGGTCCTGGAAGGCTCCCTCTGGGTCATGGAAGGCTCCCTCTGGGTCCTGGAAGGCTCCCTCTGGGTCCTGGAAGGATTCCTCTGGGTCCTGGAAGGATTCCTCTGGGCCCTGGAAGGATTCCTCTGGGCCCTGGAAGGCTCACTCTGGGTCCTGGAAGGATTCCTCTGGGTCCTGGAAGGCTCCCTCTGGGTCCTGAAAAATTCTCTTCCCTCACTGGAATGCCCTCTTGACTCCTTTGCAAATTATTTCACATCAAAATGATCAAACAATTTACAATTGTTCTTTATAGCCAGGTGTCGGAAGAGCGTCTTTTGTGTGCTGCCATGTTGATATTATGAGTTTATTGTCGCAGGATTATGACAATAAGCTCCGGTGCTTGTGTTCGAAGTCCTGCCCGACGCTCCAGTTCTCAAGAGCTGGAAAGATTCACAACCACATTTATGTGCGTGTTATTTTGGCTGGAAAATTTTTGGCAAGAACAAGCGGCATAACCAATAGTCATTGCCCACGGCGCTGAGTTACAGGCGCCTCCAAACTAGCCCATAATTAAAATAAACCTCCAAAATGTGAAGATTGTACTCCTTCAGACGCGGCCCCAAGATGGCTCTCTGCTCCTCACTCTATTACCCGGCGCCCTATGATACAACTCCAGGAGGTCGCAGGATGGCGCTTGCCCTCCCAGCCGCCTCAGCCATCTTCACCCTTAACAGCTACTTCGCGCGCCTCTTCCACAATCAATAAAAACGGGGCTATGAAAACGTCTCCCGCTTTGCTGTTGACACGGAGGACTTCAAGCGGGTCTCCAGGAGTATCTGCTGCTGGTTTTTTAAAGTTACAATGAAGATGCAAGGGAAATATATGCTAACTTAGCGGTGGTGTGTGAGACGTGAGTGAAGGTCGAGGGTTGCTTGTAGGCGAGGCGCTGGTTAGGACCGGGGCTCTCCACAGGTGATGGCGGGAGGTAGGACTCTTGGGGTCCACACAACATCCCCATATCGAAATCCTGTAATTCCATCAAGGGTCCTGCTGCGTTGGGTTTTCAATATTTTTCAGGAATTTAGAAACAGCTGAGGAGAAGCCGTTCTGTTAATTTGGCCCAGGTTACCGTAAATTAGCCCAAGGAGAGAGGAGAGTGAGAGAGAGAGAGAGAGAGAGAGAGAGAGAGAGAGAGAGAGAGAGAGAGAGAGAGAGAGAGAGAGAGAGAGAGAGAGAGAGAGAGAGAGAGAGAGAGTAGAGAAGTAGTCAGAAAATTATTATTTTGGCTTAGCTATAATGGCTAGAGGCTTGGTCTCTCTCTCTCTTTCCTGCTTCATGCTTGGCGGGAAGTTCATGTCAAGATGGTGAACCTTAACCACAAGAGGTAGAAGTCTGTTGAAACACACAACTGGCTGTTAGAACACACAACTGGCTGTTAGAACACACAACTGGCTGTTAGAACACACAACTGGCTGTTAGAACACACAACTGGCTGTTAGAACACACAACTGGCTGTTAGAACACACAACTGGCTGTTAGAACACACAACTGGCTGTTAGAACACACAACCGGCTGTTAGAACACACAACCGGCTGTTAGAACACACAACCGGCTGTTAGAACACACAACCGGCTGTTAGAACACACAACCGGCTGTTAGAACACACAACCGGCTGTTAGAACACACAACCGGCTGTTAGAACACACAACCGGCTGTTAGAACACACAACCGGCTGTTAGAACACACAACCGGCTGTTAGAACACACAACCGGCTGTTAGAACACACAACCGGCTGTTAGAACACACAACCGGCTGTTAGAACACACAACTGGCTGTTAGAACACACAACCGGCTGTTAGAACACACAACCGGCTGTTAGAACACACAACCGGCTGTTAGAACACACAACCGGCTGTTAGAACACACAACCGGCTGTTAGAACACACAACCGGCTGTTAGAACACACAACCGGCTGTTAGAACACACAACCGGCTGTTAGAACACACAACCGGCTGTTAGAACACACAACCGGCTGTTAGAACACACAACTGGCTGTTAGAACACACAACCGGCTGTTAGAACACACAACCGGCTGTTAGAACACACAACCGGCTGTTAGAACACACAACCGGCTGTTAGAACACACAACCGGCTGTTAGAACACACAACTGGCTGTTAGAACACACAACCGGCTGTTAGAACACACAACCGGCTGTTAGAACACACAACTGGCTGTTAGAACACACAACCGGCTGTTAGAACACACAACCGGCTGTTAGAACACACAACCGGCTGTTAGAACACACAACTGGCTGTTAGAACACACAACCGGCTGTTAGAACACACAACTGGCTGTTAGAACACACAACCGGCTGTTAGAACACACAACTGGCTGTTAGAACACACAACTGGCTGTTAGAACACACAACCGGCTGTTAGAACACACAACCGGCTGTTAGAACACACAACTGGCTGTTAGAACACACAACCGGCTGTTAGAACACACAACTGGCTGTTAGAACACACAACTGGCTGTTAGAACACACAACTGGCTGTTAGAACACACAACTGGCTGTTAGAACACACAACCGGCTGTTAGAACACACAACCGGCTGTTAGAACACACAACCGGCTGTTAGAACACACAACTGGCTGTTAGAACACACAACCGGCTGTTAGAACACACAACCGGCTGTTAGAACACACAACCGGCTGTTAGAACACACAACTGGCTGTTAGAACACACAACCGGCTGTTAGAACACACAACTGGCTGTTAGAACACACAACCGGCTGTTAGAACACACAACTGGCTGTTAGAACACACAACCGGCTGTTAGAACACACAACCGGCTGTTAGAACACACAACTGGCTGTTAGAACACACAACCGGCTGTTAGAACACACAACCGGCTGTTAGAACACACAACTGGCTGTTAGAACACACAACTGGCTGTTAGAACACACAACTGGCTGTTAGAACACACAACCGGCTGTTAGAACACACAACTGGCTGTTAGAACACACAACTGGCTGTTAGAACACACAACCGGCTGTTAGAACACACAACCGGCTGTTAGAACACACAACTGGCTGTTGGAATACAGTTGGTTGCCTGTACAGCCTCAGCCGGAACACACGCAGGTGCTCTGCAGCCGCGCTCCTGTACACTTTTGAACAACATTATGAACAGCAACGACGCCACGAGTGAACACAAAACATGCTCCGGCAGTCTCTCTGGATGAGCGTGTGCTGTTCTTGGCTGCATATCTCAGGCCGTGTTTATGTATGGCTGTAATACCGGCGTTAGCACGAACGCTTCAGTTGTTTAGTAGAACCAATAAATAATGCCATTGTCAAGAATGAAAAATATCATTTCTAACAATTTTATAAAAACATAAAGGACATTATTATTTTTACTGGTGGTGATGATGACGGATATAACAACTTGTTCTCGGAGAGTTGATACTGTTCAGCTATTATTCTTTTAATGACAACCTACAGATAAACAGTAGTATTTGCAAATCAGAGATTACCTATTTCAAGATTATTAATGAATGATGTTTATCCTTCGGCTATTTGGAACGAATAATAGAAACATTATATAGTATGGTGAGCATCTATGTGACTTCTACGAATGCAGATGACTATTCGACCTATTACCCAGTTATGCAGACTTATCCTATGTCCCATAAAAATATGTAAATATAATTCAATGTCGTTAACTATGATATTGTAATATTACTGTAAGTTAAAATTTAAAAAATATATAATTTTAGTAAGAAAACAAAAATTATTTAACTAAATAAGCCACTAAAAAGATCGTGCATAGCGTCATATTATAAGTTAATAATGCGCGCACTAAACCTTAATAATACTATGGGCCAGCTGAAAAGATAAAGTCGCATTTCTGCATCACATTAACCTCATAATTCGTGCACACACTTTTATGTCTACACTGCATCTGGGATTATGCTTATGCTTACGCCATGTATACTAATGTATACATGAGTATTGAACAGCGAGTTACTGTGGGCATGAATAACCCTCCAGAGAATGTAAAGCTTCAAGCCCAACACCAAACCAAAATAACTACGTTTTCTTTCCTTGATTTCAGAACTGTTTACGACAAGCGCAGACTGACGCCCAGCTGGACAAACATTTGTTTTAACGTTAAACATTATACGTATTATGTGTGTAAATCACGAAAATTAACACGTGATGAAAAATGTGACAGTGTCAGAACACGGAGGAAGAATTGACACAGGAATTTCCTCAAGTACTTTCGTATATTAATACATCATCAGAAGCAATGAATCAATTATACATATTATACACACACACACACACATTTATATATATATATATATATATATATATATATATATATATATATATATATATATTTTAAAAGAACTGGAGCGACACATGGGTGTACCCAAATTCTGTGTATATACAAATATACAATTGTATATACAATTCTGTGTATATACTTTAGTAAAGGAGTAAAGTACTCTTGCAAGTTGGTCTGTAAGCTATTGTAGTGACCTAACTAACTTTATAGATAGGTAGGCCCAACACTACACCAACTAGAGATATCAGTATATGAGGCAGGCGACAGCTGGCTTTCAACCAACGCTGTACACAACCACATCACATCATCAACGTCAAAAATTAGTGTCAATGTCGGAATATAAATTAGCAAGTTGGTTCACAAGGCTGACGCCAAGTCATGCTCCAACAATAGCTAATCTTGTTTTTATTGCCTGGAGCACAGCTGGTGTCTCTTGCTTGAATATCCTGGAGAACAGCTGGTGTCTCTTGCTTGAATATCCTGGAGAACAGCTGGTGTCTCTTGCTTGAATATCCTGGAGCACAGCTGGTGTCTCTTGCTTGAATATCCTGGAGAACAGCTGGTGTCTCTTGCTTGTATTGCCTAGAGAACAAACAACTAGTGGCAGTGATGTTGTGTACATAGTTTGACGGGATGAGGATATTCTGTACCAGACCTGGAGGGCTCTGAATGTTTCGTACCAAGTCTGAAGGATGTGAATGTTCTGTACCAAGTCTGAATCCAGACCTATGTAAAGTATGGATGAAATATTTAACTTAGAGTGATGCCCTTGGTCGCTGGTTAGACTGATAACTTCCCACGAATGACTTCATTTAGAAACCAGCGAGGACGAGTAAGTAAGCAAACAATTTGTGTCGTCATGTATCCCATCGATGGACTAGCTGATTTGTTTTGTCTTATTTATGCTTTCTCACGCCTAACCACTTGGGGTGGACGGTAGAGCAACGGTCTCGCTTCATGCAGGTCGGCGTTCAATCCCGTGACCAACAAAGTGTTTGGGCACCATTCCTTCCCCCCCCCCGACCCATCCCAAATCCTAATTTTGACCCGTTTCAAGTGCTATATAGTCGTAATAGTTTGGGGCTTTCTCCTGATAGTTCCTTTCCCTTTCTCATGTGTCTGAAAATACTCACTGATGTCGGGTCAATGAGAGGTCTTCTGTGACCAACACGTGGAGTAACATGGCGAATTATTTTGTGTCCGTGAAGATGTTTTTCGTAGGAAAATAGTTTAGTCGACATTATATATATATATATATATATATATATATATATATATATATATATATATATATATATATATATATATATATATATATATATATATATATATATATATATATTGCAGCAGTGAATAAGTGAATAATCAGTGAACCTAGTGAATAAGGCAGCAGTGATACTAAAAGTCCCCATCTCGCCGGATGGTTATAATGTATAATGGGGGGGTCGAATGAGTCTGCGGAGATTCTCAGCCACGTTTCACAATATATCTCTGGGCTTATCTACTGGAGGTCACAGGAAAAGGCAAATAGTGGAGACCTAACATATAGCTACATAATACCCAGTACAACTGACATATTGGCAACTGTCGAGACCTTCCCTCATGACACGGTTCCACGTAATTTTGAACGAATAACAGAATGGCACATACAATACTGACAGCATGTCAGAGGTTGATGCGTTCCTGTCTGGTTTCATAACAGTCTGCACGCGCATCCTTTGGGAATAAATTTACCAAGCTACCTATTAGGACCATCACTTCAATCGATCATGAAAGACCTGGCAGAAAACCTTATAACATGTGTTGACCAGACCACACACTAGAAAGTGAAGGGACAACGACGTTTGAAGGGCACAATCGACGTGAGAATGGTCCAGGACGGACCGAAACGTCGTCGTTCCTTCACTTTCTAGTGTGTGGTCTGGTCAACATACTTCAGCCACGTTATTGTGACTCCTCGCCTGCCTTATAACATGTCGTCCTCTGGGCTATGCTGGGTCCTCTGATCGCCAGGCAGTCCACACCAACATGAAGACTGACTCTGCCAAAGGGAACGCAGCACCCCGCCTCGCCTGGCTCTGGGACCAGCAAGACTAACAGGAGATGTGTGACTTCCTAGTGAGCTACAAGTGGGATGTTATCCCAAAAGGTGTTAACAGTTCGGCTGAAAAGTTTACACGTCAAGTGGTTATCTTGAGATTATCTTGAGATGATTTCGGGGCTTTGTTTAGTGTCCCCGCGGCCCGGTCCTCGACCAGGCCTCCACCCCAAGGAGGCCTGGGGGTGGAGGCCTGGGGGTGGAGGCCTGGGGGTGGAGGCCTGGTGGCCAGTAAAGGTTGATAAGGCACAATGTAAGAACAAGGTCAAGGTCAAGCATTTGACGACTTCTCCAGACAAACCTGCCGTCTCAGTAGCTACCAGTCCTATGGAGAAAGATGACCGTCTTGACTCTCACTTCCCAAGTGTGACACAAGTTCTTGAGTGGGACTGCTCTCTTCTCTCATCAGTGCCCGCATGGCTCGCTCTTTGGGTTTAGAGGCACATTAAATCTGCTACTACTGTTGACTAAAATATACCCGCCGCATAGGTTCGAATCCTCATGACGGATCCTACGAATTTTCTCAATAATAATAGTAGTAATAATAATGAAGAGGGGTGTGCGTGTGTGCGTGTGCCAGGTAATACGGTGGATAGAGACATGAGGCAATGACTAGAGTCCTCCCCGGGTGCCACTAGCCAAGATAAATCGGTGTCTGAGAGCACTGCAGTGTCAGCCGACAGCAGTTTTTCAATGTTTTTCTTCGGATATCCGGTGTTATATTGGCCAGCAGGGGAGCGGCGTCGCGGGGCCTCGGTAGTGATGATCACCTGTCCGGGGTCTCAGCCAAGACTCACATACACAAACACCCTCACAGGTTCTGCCATTAATTATATCAGTTAAATGGGAACACTCTCGCTCGTCGTGTTTGGCTTGTGTCTGTTTACGAATGTGTAATTACCTAAGTGTAGTTACTGGATGAGAGCTACGCTCGTGGTGTCCCGTCTTCCCAGCACTCTTTGTCATATAGCGCTTTGAAACTACTGACGGTGTGTAAGTGTGTATATCTTTTATGTATACCAGTAATATTTGAATGCTTTATGCGGGCGTTTTCCACATGCTGCGACAAATTACTGATTAGTAATTTGTTCGCAACTAGGTACTCAGTGAGAGAGAGAGAGAGAGAGAGAGAGAGAGAGAGAGAGAGAGAGAGAGAGAGAGAGAGAGAGAGAGAGAGAGAGAGAGAGAGAGAGAGAGAGAATCTTCAAACATCAGCCAAGTACTCCAGTGTGTATTCTGAAATGGTCTATTAATTAGCTATGTCTTTGGAAATGGTTCATTAAGTCAATAGACCCTCAAACACTGCCAAAAATCTTGCTCAGGTCAACGGCCCGATTTCCTAGGCAATTATTCTTCATCTATTTGAGCCAGTCATATTTCACATGCGATAAGAACTCCCTTGTCTCTGATTGGGTCGTGTGCCTTATCTCTAATATTGCCACCAATAGGAATCTGTCATGCTATCGCTCTTATCCCATTGGCCAAGATAGTCACGTGGCATCACAGAGGAAGAGTGTAGACCTTACACCTTGACGGCTCAAGGAGTTACCACTTATATTGACTGAGAAGAAAAACACAGTTAATTAAATTCATGTGAAACTTATATAGATTGAAAAATATTTGGACGGACTGAATAGGAGAACAACTATAATGAATTAAACTGATTTATTAAGATATTGCATGTCTTACATTTTAATATTTTTATTAATATTAATACTACTTAAAATTAAATAATTAATATGTTAATTTGCATTACTATTTTCTGTTTTTTTAGAACTCTTAATTATATAGTTCAAAGTTCCTAAAAATTATTTCTGTATAGATATATATGATTATTGTATAACTGCTTATATTACCAAATGTATATTTGTCTTATAAGTTTAAATAAGTGTTTTAATTTTATTTTGATCTTAATTGTCCAGCTGTAACTATATCTGTTTTCTCTGCTGACTTCTTGTTGCTCTATCCAGCAGACCTGCTACGGCTTCGCTATTATAAATATTATCATGCAACTTTACATTTTCTTAAAATCGAGTTAATATTTCTGTCAAATAAAACTAGAAGAAATTTCTGGCAAAATTTGAGTCGCCGGTGCTAACCCCCCCCCCCTTTTTCTTGCATCCAGAAACTGAAGACTAACCAGATATAAAATGTATTTATTGATGGACTGATAGAAAGTTAATGTATATCCAATATAGTCGAATACTGTGTTTGTTGTCTTTTGTAGTTCAGGGCTCTGGCTCTATAGTTATCAGAAGACTTCTGATTAGAGAGACTTCTGAGATTATGCTCTGCACTTTCTCGGAACGCGAGCACGTACAGATGTGTTACAGATATACCATGGAAGACTTATATAAACACACAGTTTATATAAGTCCCTAACCCCTATGATTACATGAACATTTGTTTGAAGGTCGTCAATGACCTCGTTGTAATGACGACGCACCTACTAATATTATAGGCAGTTAGGATCACAAGCCTTGATAATAGGTCACATGGTCAATGGAATTTCGACTTAAACAATTATGGAAATAGACACGCACAATGCTGACTAGCCAGTGGGACGGGACTCCTTCCCCTCACACACGTCGATTGTGATGCTAAATAGTCAAATTTGATTAATCGTTGGTATAATCGTTCTATTCACGTTGTCCAGATATGGGTACGAGGAAACAAGTGCCGCGGGCGTGCCAGCAGGTGGTGGTTGAGGCATCTGGTCACACGCTGCTTCCTCGATGTGTAGGCTGCGGGGGGTGGCCGGAGGTGGCTGGGGGGGTGGAGGGGTATGGAAGGTCTGCTAGGCCAGATTACTGTGGGTGTCAGCGCTTCGCCCTGCTGTGTTGCGCTAACCGGGCCACTTGGTGGCACTGCTGCTGGTCGCGCTGCTGCACCCAAAAGGGTTCTGAGTGGCTGGACCTATAGCCAGGTTTTTCTGCTGAATGAGCGTTGGGAGGCGTGGAGCAAGGCCACGCCATCAGGAGACAATAGCGCCGCCGAGGCTACCACGCTCGCTGCCGCTCCGGGACGCCTGACAATCCACCCCACGACAAATGAAACTCTCCAACATAACCCGTTCTAACAGCAGCTCAGTCGTGTGGCGTCGACGACCAGGTAGGCACGCATATCGGTCGTGTAAGGTATACAAGTGCCAAACTTTATCATCGTCTGCTCCTGGTGACGGCTTCCACCGCGGAAACCAGCTGTTCAGTGCTGCGGCTACTTCTGCTGCGTCTTGCTGTGTCTGGTAAGGTGCTAAAGCCACATGGTGATCAACCCAACTTGCCTTCAGTGTTAGTCCCTATGTCCCTGTGTACCACCACACTCGCACGTCTGTCAGATCCCTCAGCCACGGTACTGCTTAAGTCACGTTTTATAATCACCGGCATCGCCATCAGTGTCGCCGCATCCCAAATCAGCACACACACCCACATATACACATCACACACACACCCACACCCACATATACACATCACACACACACCCACACCCACATATACACATCACACACACACCCACACCCACATATACACATCACACACACACACACCAAGAGAATAGGTTCACGCCCAAACAAAGTAACTACATTATCACCCACGTCAAGATCATTACACACCATCATCCACATCACAAACATTACCATCCAATCATTTACTTCGTCATCAGTGGTACAGAATCCTATTTTTCAAGCCGAAAACCCATTATAATAATAACCACAGCACAAGATAATAATAATAATAATAATAATAATAATAATAATAATAATAATAATAATAATAATAATAATAATAATAAAGAAGACATCAGTACAATCCTGCTGTTGAAGACCATTAACAACAGCAGCAGCAGCGGGGGTGCTAACTGCTAGATCGCTCCAATGGTTAGTTTCTTCTCTCTCTATCCAACGCTAATCAAACCAATTTGATAATGCACTCAGCCCAAGAGGTGTTTTGGTGTTGGGATTAACGCCTATGAGCATCTGGAGGGTTATTAAGGCCACCAAAATGACTTACTGACTCTCCAGCAAGTAACCTTTAGTCCTAGACAAACATTCTCTAGGACTAAAGTAAACTCTCAGTGCTATACACCGAGAAGGAAGGTACTCTATGTAGAGGAGTTTCCCGTACCTGAGTACATATTATTTTTTTTTTTTTGAGGGGAGACTGTGTAAAAAGGCTGAAGTGTACTTCATGGTTGATCAGCTAGTACTATGACCTCCATAGACCATCAAAGCTTGATGGAGCTTAAGCTCAACTTCAAACTTATTGTTTATAACAATTACCAGTATGCTGCCGGCCGTAAAAGTGTTTTCTTCGGTCTTAAACTTTGTTTAAGTCTTAAAGAATAGTAATCTCTCGGTGGCCCACAGACCCAGCATTAAGTCCAACCTCGTCGACACCTTCATATATGCTCATAGATCAACAGGAGATAAAGGGCTCAGCATCCACTCAAATGCAGATAAAAACCTTTAAGCTCCCTCTCACCCCGGATAATCTATATTTTAGTGGCTGTTATATTGCAGCCTAACTCCCGGTTCATCTTTAAAATATATCAGCAATTGCAATATATGAAGGGCAATTTATTATAATGCCGACACTAAATTTATCACATGTCTCTTGAATTTTTGTTATAATTTATTTATTCTTTTGCTGTACATGTTGTTAATAAACATAAAATAACTACTGAAGAAACTAAATGCGAATTAAATATTATTATTGCTGCAAACTGTAAGTTACTTTAGCACTTTAACTTTAAGTTACAGTTATTCATAGCTATCAGAGTTATTATAGGAAACTATGCTATTTAAAAGCTTACAGTGTTAGATATTTCTAACTCCTGGAATGACTGTAGATATAACCTTGTGATCATCATGTTATATTAATTATATCTGAGAGACCGTCATAGCCAGTTGTAGCGGGCTAAAACTGTAACCCTCACATGAAAGTTCTGCTTTAGTCTCCCCCTCCTAAACAAGAAGACTATGTTCTTATTCCTACCTCAATTCTTTCAAGTTCTGCTCATATTTGTGTCTCAGTTCTTGTGAGCGTCGTTATTCAACTGTATGAGAAGAGTTTTGATTTGAAGACTTTCAGAGTTAAGATCTTGTCAACTAGTCTGGTCTGCATTTGATGGGTTTTCATTGCACTCGAAATATTAAACCTCGTCTCATGTGAGTTATCGTATTGCTGTCTGGGTTGTACACGGGACAATGGTTGTACCATTGGTCGGCTTGGCTTCTATCATGGGTCGATTTGTGCCATTGTTTCGCTTGTACTATTGCTTCAATTAGACAATGGCTGATACTGAACCAGGGCTTCTATTTTACTATGGTTTCACTTTTACCATCTTTTGATTGTACCATTGCTCGAACTGTATAATGGCTTGTACCACGGCTCTCACTGTACCATATTTATACAATGCTTCCGATTTAATTATTACTCGTTTGTACCATGGTTTTGCTTTTATTTTATTGCACTTTATATATATATAAGAGGTGGGTGGGAGAGAAAGAAGGAGGTAGAGGGAGGGGGAGGGGTAGAGAGGAAAGTAGCTAGAGGGAGAGGAAGAGAGTAAAAAAGGTAGAGCACGGGAATAGAAGGAAGGAGGGAGATAGAGAACGACGTGGTAAGGATATAACAGGAAAGGAAGGTAAGGGAGAGAGCGAGGGAAAGAGTGGAGGACAGGAACGGAATAAGGGAAAGGAAAGAGAGCAATTGAGGGAAAGAAAGGAACAGAGAGGTTGCGAGTTAGTGGGTAGAAAGTGTAATAGAGGAAGAGAGAGAGATTGGTGTGGGAATACGTGGGGGGAAATGACAGCGGGGTGTTAGAAGAGGGGAGGAGGGAAGGGGAGAGACGGAGAGAGGGGGAGAGGGAGAGAGAGATGTAGGGAGAGAGAGAGGGCGAGGTGAGGTAATAGGATAAGCTGATATAGTTGAGGTATATCCAAGATGCAATGAGGTGAACTTGGGTATATGCTGTTCCCTGTCTGTCATTCTGCTATAATTACGACCGTAAGCACACATGCATGTTGAGACTGAGCTTCAGTTCTTGGGCACCGCTTCTGTACCAAATATTGAATTTGAATTCAATAGCCATTTGAATTCAATAGCCATTTGAATTCTTTTATATTTACTTTTGAAACTTTATATCCTTGTGAGAGAGAAAGAGGGGAGAGGTGGAAGAGCAAGAGAAAAAGAGTTAAAAAAAGGGGAAGAGTGACAATGGGGATGATCATTCTCGCGTCTCCTCTCTTCCTCCCCCCTTCTCTTTCCCTTGGCAGTTCCCTTCCCTTCTCAAGGAATCGATGGGTGCCAGATGACGGGGCCAGGAGACGCAGCAGGAACACTGGAGTAACAGGAGGAGGAGGAGATGTGGCCATTGGAGGAGACATTGAAAGAGGATGTGCTTGAGGAAGAGGTGTCGAAGGAGGCAGTATTGGAACAAGAGAAATTGAAAATTCGCTTATGGAGAATAATGTGGAGGAAGAAACATTCAAGAAGGAACTGACAGCCAGTAGACGAGAAGGTGGAAGCAGTGGGGAAGAAAGGAACAGGCCACATGTCGAGATTATTGCGATAAACAACTTAGGAACGGCAGTTGATGGGCAGAATATTACTGTTTGATGCTGGTCTAACAACCACGAGGAGTAGGGCCTAAGACCTGACAAAAACATGCCTAAGATCTGAGGCCTAAGGTCCTAAGGCCTGAGGCCTAAGGTTAGACCTAAGGCCTAAGACCTGACAAAAACATGTACCCTTCTACGTCACCACACCTCTATAAACACAACCTATTCTAACCTAACTGACCATAAACTAACCTATTCTATTCTAACTTTACTAATATCCAACCTAACGTTACGAAACATGTGAGCGAAGATGCCCGCAGAGCGGGTACACAGGGGATGGAAGGATATAGAAAATCTTGAAGTAGGATTAAGTGATAAAGTAGAGAGGAGGAAGTAGAGGGTAGTGGCCCAACCACTTTGGCTTTGTGGGTGATTCTGATGCGTGAAATGATGTGTGAGGTAATGTTACGCTCACACATCATTTCACGCATTAAACTTACGTAAATGATGGTATATATATATATATATATATATATATATATATATATATATATATATATATATATATATATATATATATATATATATATATATATATTGCTTGCTTGCTGGCTGCCGGTGCTGTTCACTGTAGCCGCTGTACCAGAGGCAGGTTTGGCTTACAAATAATAAGTTACTTGTAGCTGTATTGGGAGAGCTGTACCATTGTGGCCTTATAGCCTTGTCCAATATAGTTGGGTAAGTTGCTTGTTGATGTTGTCGACATATTGGTCTTGGTTACTTAAGTGGATTAAATTATATTTACAGTTGTTCCATCGATATTTAGATGTCTAAGCATTATTTGTGCAACCTCTGCATTTTGTATGTTATTTCAGAGTATGTTTACTAGTAATGTTTCTAGAGAATTTTACATATAAATAGAACTCTTCGGTTTCGTAATTAGGCATAAACATTTAGTGCAATTAACAGTAAATAAAACAGTAATACGTAGCACTTTATATCAGGCGTAAACCCTGGTAGGTTATTACGACTACAACTATGATAACTTATAAAATGTTGTTAAGAAAACGAAAAATTATTGTAAACAGTAAAAAAGATTTATAATGAAAAATCAATTATATAATTAATTTATATTATATTGTTCAAAAATCAATTATATAATTGATTGATATTATATTGTTCAATTAAGTTATTAAACAACTTAAACGGAAAGTAGCAATAGAGACAGCAACAACTATAGAAACTTTAAATAAGTAAATAAAAGTTAGAGAATACAAGGGATATAATTAAAGAGAAGCTATAATAAAGCAGATAGAACACTATAGTTTACTCAGAGAATGGGAAACTACAATAAACTGAAAGTATGAAAAATGATTACAAAATATTTGGAACTGAAGGTTAATGTGCATATGAGTTATATAAATAAGTAGAAGCTATTAATACATTAAAACAAAATAATATCATGAAAGGATGAGGTAGAGAAATGATGAAGGGTACCATGAAGTATATCATGAGGATGATGAGTACCATGAGCGGGGGGGGAAGATGATGAGTCTCCCCCTCCCCCCACCCTCCTACCGCCGTCTACGATCCGCGCGTCGTTGTAAATGTTATCTCTCGGTGGCGTCGAACTTACCATGATAAATTATGATAAAGCGTGATTAGCGATGATTGATACTCCATATTATGGTGTGTAGAGCTGCCGCAGGAGACGCTCTAAGGCTGGCTGGGGATTGTTGATTAGTCTCCACCTTCTCCACCAGCACCTTCCCCACCATTGTCTCCTCTACCACCACCTTCCCCACCACCCCTCCCCACCTCCCA